TCACCATCGTGACGGGGGCGGTCAGGGGAACCTCGGGAGGAGGGGCAGCGGCGGGGTTGGGAGGAGGGGCTAGCTCGGCGGCGTGATTGGGGGAGGGGATCGGGGCGAGGGAAGCGAGGGGTCGGGCCGAGATGAGGGGCAGACCTCCCGTGCGAGCCGTTCCGCGTGGTACCGCCGATTCGGAGGAATCACTTGGTTCGGCATATCGGGGGTATATTCCCTCGCGGGGAACCATTACTTTCCCTCTCGCTCGCGAACCAAACGCTGGAATCGGTGCCAGGTACGGGACCGACCCGTGACGTTCTACTTAATTCCACGAACTGAACACACCCTAAAGGTTGATTAGGGATCATGTGATTGATTTCTTTTTATAATGACATTACTAAGTTTAGCACATAAAAACTGAATTAAGTAGATCAGTGGGATAAAAATCAGTTTAAACAAATTGGTGGGAAATAAAAAATCGGTGGGGGAGGTCTAATCGGAATGGAGGTGACGCTACCAACTCATCCATGGCATATAGGTATGTGTCAATTTTGATAGTATGCTAAGCACAAAATAATAGGTTGGTTGTTGATGAAATGAAACAAGAAAAAAGAAACCAAAAGACAGAACATAGAAAAACGAAAAATAAAAACATGTGCATGCATAAAAAATTTGATGTCTTGGTAAGATTTTATTTGATTCGAGTTGGCAACGCTACCAACCTCCCTTTCAGATTAGAGATTTTGGCATGTGATTCACTAATTAAGTGGGCATTTTCTCTATATCTCTAGTATTAAAGCGGAGTTAGTGTTTGTACATCACAAATTTGTTTCGTCTAATTGGTTTGGAATAATCTAAATCAAATCAGTGCTTTCCAATCAAATCTGATCAAAACCATGTGCTGAATTAATTTACCGACGGGAACTTCTCCTCCCACTGAACGCACAGAAGGCGGAAAAATGCAAGCACCAGTGTCAAGTCTAAAACGTGAACTCTGGTGGGATGACAATACCACTGTCTTTTTAATCATCTAAACACAAAAAAAGATATGCACATTTATTCTACAGACTACCCGATTTCAAGGCAAGGATATATGCACAAAAATGTGCAGTAACTTCATGGTATCCAAAACCAATCTAGTTTGGGGTCCTAACCATGGCCTCCAAATCTGGTTTGCTCACCGGGCGATGTGTCAAGGACATGATTCAACTGCGGTTTTTTCTTCCCAGAGTTTGTTTAGTGTGTTGGTGTGTGAGGTGGTGTGTTTGTTAGTCAGTTTCGGTCACTTTTCGAGACCGGTGGGGCTTCATGCCCATTTCATATTATTTTGCTCGCGTTGAATCGGCCATGCACCTCTTGGACTGTCCTTTTGCTTTGTATTACTTGGACTTCATCACCCCATCTAGAAAAAGGAGCACCTCAGTTCTGTTTGACATTCAGCTTGCAGCCTCTATTCTTCCACCAGAATTTCATATGGACACCATTGTCATAGGGTGCTGGAACATCTGGACCCAAAGGAATAACTAGATTTTCAAAGGCATCGCTCCAAGTATCAACCCTTTGGAAAGAACTCCACATACAAGACCTAGAGAAAGTGTGCATTAATCAAAGAGATTAGTCAAGAGGTCTTCAAGACCTGGATTGTGAATAACCTCTGATTTTTTACCATGTTACCTAGAACCGGTGCTGGTTAATTTGTATTCTCTTTCTTTGGCTTTTTGCCTTTGTTTTTGAACATAAAATTTAATATATTTTACCGTAGAACAATTGTTCTACGGCGAGCCTCCAAAAAAAGAACTCCTATTTTCTATATGAATAGGTAGTGGTAGTGTTGGGTTTTCCAAAAAAAAAATCACCAAATATTTCTATGGAGTTTTGACTACAAATTCCTTTTGTGTTAGGATATAGAGAAGATTATGAACAAAGATTACAGATAAAGTACGATATTTGCGATTTGCATTTTTCATCTCGATTTGGTGCCTGAACCAACAAAACTTTAAAGTGTTCACCTTGGAGCTCCCTACTGAAACTTCGCCTTAGAGATTCACGGAACACAACTTCGAAAGTACAGTATAAAGACCTCCAATGAACTTTACTCATGGATATTTACTGTCCAGCGCAGAGATGTCGCCAGGAAAAGATATGCACATTTATTTCACACAGTACCAGATCTAGTAGCAAGGATATATGCAGATTAATGTTCATTAACTTCATTGTATCAAAAAACCAACATGTGTATCCATTTCAGAAGCAATCTATGAATTAAATGCTACACACTCCTCGTACATACAAAGTTAGAACCCCAAGCTATATAAATGGACACTGAGCCCTCCCCCCTCTCATCACATCTCGATCCAACGCCATGGAGGCCAAGGTCGCAGCAATAGCTTTGGTCTTGCTCTTTCTTACCTTGGGTGAGTCCATTCAACAAGATATCTTCTCTACTCTTTAGCACCTCTGTTGTACTACTTCAAAAATATGTAGCCGTGGGCAAGAATATTGTGTTAGTTAAACTGACAAGTTTCATGCGGTTGTTGATTGATTGATTGAGTAGGTGGAGAGGCCGAGTTGTGCAAGCAGCGTAGCCGAACTTTCAAAGGGCGGTGCACCCACAACGACAATTGTTTTGCCATCTGCCTCACTGAGAACTTCACCGGAGGGTATTGCCACGGCGTTGTAGAACGTCACTGCATGTGTACTAAGAAGTGTGGCGAGCCGCCGGAAGAGCCAGAGGAGCCGCCGCTACCGGAAATGATGATCTGACTGAAGTGTGCCTGAGATTTGAGTTGATGACAATGAAATTATCTCTCTACCAAAACCTGGTCAGAGAGTGAGAAATGAAATAAAGTAAACCATATTATATGATACCAATATACCATTGCAGTAGCACAAACTAAACCTTTTACAGCTGAAAAGACAAACCATATGCCGACAAAAAAATTTAACTATCCCTGTGTTGTTGCTGTTGTTTTTCTTATAAGCGAGAAAGAACTTTGACCTTTGCATTGAGTAATGCACACATCCATGCATTAATTATTGTAACATTTACATGATTCGCTACAAAATGTAGTTCAAACAAAATGCCCCAACTGGCAGGCAAAATGGAAACTTTCTTCTACGGCATTTGTTTGGTGTGTTGGTGTGTCCGGTGGTCCACTTGTTCATCGCTTTCGTGCCCATTCTACATGATTTTGGTCCATGATTCCCTAATTAACTACATAACTCCTTTTTTTTTCTATATGAATACGTAGTGGTACTATTGGGTTTCTCAAAAAATCATCAAATATTTCTGTGGATTTTGACTACAAATTCCTTTGTGTTAGGGATAGAGAAGAAAGATTGCTAACAAAGATTACGGATATAGTATATCTTCAGTATTTGCGTTTTCCATGTTGGTTTGTTGCTTGAACCAACAAAAGTTTTTTTTTTTTGCGGGGGAACCAACAAAAGTTTGAAGTGTTAACTCAGCGTTCCGTACTCAAACTCCAGTTTAGACTCATGGAACACAACTTCAAAAGTACAAATACCTCCGGTGAGCATTTCTCATGGATATTTACTAGCCAGCGTAGAGATGTCACCATGAGAAGATATGCACATTTATCTCACATAGTACCAGATCTCATAGTAAGGATATATGCACATAAATGTTCACTAACTTCATAGTATCCAAAAACCAACATGCATATCCATTTCAGAAGCAATCTACGAATTAAATGCTACAAATCCTTTGTACTCCCTCAGGTCCTTTTTACTCCGTGTATTATATTTATGCCAAGTCAAACTTCACAAAGTTTGATCAAATTTATATTAAAAAATATCAACATATACAATATCAAATAAATATACTATGAAACTACATTTAATAATGAATCTAACAATATTGATTTAGCATTGTGAGTGTTGATACTTTTTTCTATAAATTTGGTCAAAGTAGAGATACTTTGACTTTGGAATAAAACTTATATGCAGACTAAAACAGATCGAAGGGAATATATACACAAGTTAGAACCCAAGCTACATAAATGGATCCTGAGCGCTTCCCTTCCTCTCATCACATCTTGATCCAACTACCATGGTGATGAAGGTCACAACAATAATAGCTTTGATATTTCTACCAAAGCTATCTACATCAAATTTGTTACTACGATGATTATGGGTGAGTAGTCCTTTTGGACTATGGGTCCATAACAATAGCTATATGGCATCTCTCTCTCGTCCTTCAATATAAAGATCATATGAGCTATCCGCATGACTGTTATCGATGTTCTGAAAACGAGGGTCCTCAGACTTACCTGTCTGCGGCCCGTAGCGTGACTCTACTATTAGGATTAAACACGACTGCTAGTCCGTGTCCATTCTATGCACGTGCATATGCGTATGTCCGTGTAGGTTTCCTAATCCATCAGCGAGTAGGACTACTAGTTGGCTAGGTTAGCTATAGTATATATACTCAAGATATTCCCCGTAATCTGTATCACCGATCAAAGAAATAAAAGAACTACCAGGCTCGGGACGAGCCTGTAGCTATCCATCGTTTTCTGTTCGCAAGTTACGAGCCGCTCCGACCCGACGCAAGCCCAGAGTTCACGTCCGTACATACGGCAACCGTGCAAGACGTGCACGGTACTGCTAACTAGCCAAAGAATCCATTAAGCAGCGTGGCTGCTTGCTTGAGGCTTAGCTTTGTACGTACGTGTTTAGTAGATTCTGGGTGAATTGATCTAGCAATCAAAAGCCAACAATTGGTATCTAGAGTCTCGATGATCTACGATGACGGATAGCGACATTGAGTCAGTCAAGTCCGGCAACGACGGTTCCAAGGCGAATAAAAACAACGACAAGGTGAAGAAGGGTGGCAAGTCAGCGGCTAGTGGTGACGGAACGGACGGTGCCAACATACTGGCGCATCGCAATATCCCCATCCAGTACCCGATGCTCACCGACACCAAGTACGGCGTGTGGGCGGTGAAGATGAAGATCATTCTCCGAACCCTTCGAGTGTGGGAGGCCATCACAGACGACGACGTCGACCAGGAGTGCAACGAAGGTGCCATGGCTGCCATAGCCCAGTCTGTGCCAGATTCCTTGCTGATGACAATGGCGGAGTTCGAGACAGCAAGAGAGGCGTGGAACGCACTCAAAGAGATGAGGATTGGAGAATATCGCGTCACGAAGGCTCGGGCACAAGTGCTGAAGCGCCAATTTCACAAGTTGTAGATGGAGGAAACTGAATCGGTGGGAGAGATCCGCGCGCTTGGTGCGAAGCTTGGTGGGAGAGATCCGCGCGCTTGGTGCGAAGCTCGAGGAAGCTGAGATTGTGGAGAAGTTTTTCAGTTCGGTGACTGATAAATTCACGTACATCATCGGCACGACTCGAGCAGCTTTACGACATCGACGACATGACCATAACGGAGGCAATTGGACGCTTCCGGACATGGGAAGAGAATGCTCGTGGCTGTCAGAAAGGCAAACGAGGAGGTGGTGACCAACTCATGTACTCGCGCGCAGATTGGGAGGCCCTAAGTAGCAAAGGAAGGCGTGATGGTGGTGAAGGCTCAAGCAACGCGAAGCGCGGCGGACAAACCAGAAACGGCAAAGGAAAAGGCAAGCCACAAAGTCGTGGTAAGGCGGACCGATCTAAAGAGCGGAAGCCACGAAACTTGGATGTGTCCGAGGTCAAGTGCTATAACTACAACGAGATGAGTCACTTTGCGAAGGATTGTCCGGAGCCTAACAAGCGGGAGATCAAGGCAAATTTGGCAAAGCAGGAAGACGAACGTCCAGGTCTTCTGATGGCCGAAGTTTGTGATCTCGTCCAAACAGCAGTTGTGAAACCAAACCGGAAGGTGCTACTTCATGAGAAAAAGGTAACACCAAAGTTATCGGGAAGGCAGAACGTGTCGTGGTATCTAGACACAGGTGCCAGTAACCACATGACGGGGTGCAAGGAGAAGTTCCTCGAGGTGGAATATGATGTTCAAGGCTCGGTCAAGTTCGGTGATGGTTCAAATGTGGAGATTTGCGGGCAAGGTTCTGTCCTCTTCGAGGGTCTCACAGGAGAACATCGCATACTCATCGGAGTGTACTACATCCCACAGCTTCGCAACAACATCATCTCGGTCGGGAAACTTGACGATAATGGATGCAAGGGGGATATTGAGAACGGAGTCATGACGATATTCGAAAACCTCCGAAACGTGCTAGCTCGTGTTAATCGCACACGGAACAGGCTCTATATTCTCAACCTTGATCAATCTCAACCGGAGTGTTGGCTCGCCAAGAGTGATGATGACTCGTGGTTATGGCATGCTAGATTTGGACACGTTAACTTCTACGCCTTGATGACGGTGTGGAACGACACCTATGGGATCACAAGAATCCCTACTACGGTTGCCGGGGCACAGGGTTGCGAGGAGAGCAGGGCTAGTAGACAACACAAGGATCGTTTACCCAGGTTCGTGTTGGGGAACGTAGTAATTTCAAAAAAATTCCTACGCACACGCAAGATCATGGTGATGCATAGCAACGAGAGGGGAGAGTGTTGTCCACGTACCCTCGTAGACCGAAAGCGGAAGCGTTAGCACAACGCGGTTGATGTAGTCGTACGTATTCACGATCCGACCGATCAAGTACCGAACGCACGACACCTCCGAGTTCAGCACACGTTCAGCCCGATGACGTCCCTCGAACTCCAATCCAGTCGAGTGTTGAGAGAGAGTTTCGTCAGCACGACGGTGTGGTGACGATGATGATGTTCTACCGACGCAGGGCTTCGCCTAAGCACCGCTACAGTATTATCGAGGTGGACTATGGTGGAGGGGGGCACCGCATACGGCTAAAAGATCAAACGATCAATTGTTGTGCCTCTAGGGTGCCCCTGCCCCCGTATATAAAGGAGCAAGGGGGGAGGTGCGGCCGGCCTAGAGGGCGCGCGCCAGGAGGAGTCCTACTCCTACCGGGAGTAGGACTCCCACCCTTTTCCTTGTTGGACTAGGAGAGGAGGGGGAAAGAGGAGGGAGAGAGGAAGGAAAAGGGGGGGCGCCGCCCCCCTCACCTTGTCCTATTCGTACTAGGGGGAGGGGCGCGCGGCCATGCCCTGGCCGCCTCTCCTCTTCTCCACAAGGCCCACTATGGCCCATTAAGCTCCCGGGGGGTTCCGGTAATCTCCTAGTACTCCGGTAAAATCCCGATTTCATCCGGAACACTTCCGATATCCAAACATAGGCTTCCAATATATCAATCTTCATGTCTCGAGCATTTTGAGACTCCTCGTCATGTCCGTGATCACATCTGGGACACCGAACAACCTTCGGTACATCAAAACATATAAACTCATAATATAACTATCTCCGGTCAATAACCAATAGCGGAACCTGGATGCTCATATTGGCTCCCACATATTCTACGAAGATCTTTATTGGTCAGACCGCATAACAACATACGTTGTTCCCTTTGTCATAGGTATCTTGCCCGAGATTCGATCGTCGGTATCTCAATACCTAGTTCAATCTCGTTACCGGCAAGTCTCTTTACTCGTTACATAATACATCATCCCGCAACTAACTCATTAGTTGCAATGCTTGCGAGGCTTAAGTGATGTGCATTACCGAGAGGGCGCAGAGATACCTCTCCGACAATCGGAGTGAAAAATCCTAATCTCGAAATACGCCAACCCAACAAGTACCTTCGGAGACACCTGTAGAGCACCTTTATAATCACCCAGTTACGTTGTGACGTTTGGTAGCACACAAAGTGTTCCTCCG